TCTATCACACTTGGCTTTTGTTGACCAGTTCCATCAAACTGCATTGAACTCAAACTGCATTGACTCTCCTTTTGGAAACCATAACATTTTCAACAAAGCAGAATAATGCCTTTATTCCTCTCTTTGGAATCTCGGCATAAAAGAAAATTATTTTTTTTTAGTTAGTTCTTAATAAGCTATATCCTTGAAACTTTGGTCTCTCTTCTTCCAAGAACTAGCCCACCCAAACCAAACTCCCCTGCTGTGGAGTCAATCCTGATTAATAAAAATAGTAACAATAATAATGAAAACAAGTGAAACACCAAATAGGGTTTAGGAGACTGGGAACCTTGACAGGAGTGGAGCAGATAGCTTCATCTTTCTCGGAGAAGTGGCTCATAGGTTTGAGCCACCAACATTGCAACGAGCTATGATTGCTACCTTTTATACGTGGGGTGTCTGAGAAGTCAACTGACAGGAAATCCTAAAATCTAGTCACATTTTCATCTCAATTAGCCAATACTCCACCCCCAAAAAAACCAAACAAACCCCTCACTGGCATCAGGAGGGAACGCCGTTGCATTGTGACCCTATAGGACAGAGTTGAACTGCCTCTGTGCATCTCTGAGTCTGTAACTCTTTATGGGAGTAGAAAGCCCCATTTTTCTCCCACAGATTGGCTGGTGGTTTTGAACTGCTGACCTTGTGGTTTGCAGCACAATTCATTACCACTATGTCACCCAAACCATACCAAGCTCACTGACATCAAGTTAGCTCTGATTCATGGCTACTGTCACCAGGGTTCTTCATTAAGCTAATAAGCAATTACAATATGAAAGTGTATGCCTTCATTAGCTGGAGGTGGTAGGAAGTGTAAGCTTTCCCTGCCCTTCCGAGTGGCCTCCTTTCATCCTGCTTCAGTTTTCTTCAGGCCCTGATGCCCGTTCATCACTGTCATCCCTGTGGACCATGTCAGCCCTGCTGGAATGTGAGCGCCCAGGAGACAGAGATGTTTGGTCTCCACTGCTGTGTTCTTATCTGCTGGCCTGACACAATGTAGACTCAGTGAGTATGTGTTAAGTGAGTGCCTGTATGAACCCAAAAGAGAAGTGGTCTGAGATGTTCTTGGAGAAATGCAGGCTTTCTTTGAAGTGGTCACGTGAAGTCTGGGTGTAAAACCCAGTCTGAGGAGAGAAGAGGCAGGGGTGAGGGCAGCCTGCCTGACCCCTCTCGCAGGTATGAGAGGCCAGTTCAGGGAAAAGTGGTGAGGTAGGAGACTAGTGGACTGTGGAGACTCTGTGCTCAGAGAACACCAGGGATCTGGTCTCCTGGGCAAGGGATGAAAGGTTTGAGGAGAAAGGAAAGCATTAGAAGAGAACCAAGCTTGGTATAATTTCTCTAGGAGCCTCTGGGTCAATGTGTGTGTGTGTGTGTGTGTGTGTGTGTGTGTGTGTGTGTGTGTGTGACAGAGACAGAGATGGAGACAGAGAGACAGAGAGCACAGGCACTCTGCTGTTGCTGCTAGGTGCTGTCAGGTGAGTCCCGATTCACATGGAGCCCATTTACATCAAAACACTGCCTAGCCCTGTGCCATCCTCATAATGGTTCTTAGGTTTGAGCCCATCAATGGAGCCACTGGGTCAATTCATCTCATTGAGGACCTTCCTCTCTTTTGTTGCCCCTCCACTTTACCAAGAATGATGGATGTCCTTCTCCGGGCACTGGTCCACAATACATGAGATGAAGCCTCCCATCCTCAGCTCCAAGGAGCATTATGACAGGCATTCTGGGGTGGATGCTTACATCATCACTCTCCTCCAGATTCAACTAGAGCAGCAGTTCTCAACCTGTGGGCCGCAACCCCTTTGGGAGTTGAACGACCCTTCACAGGGGTCGCCTGGTTCATAACACTAGTAACATTACGGTTATGAAGTAACAATGAAAATCAATTTATGTTTGGGGAGTCATCACAACATGAGGAACTGTACTAAAGGGTCACGGCATTAGCAAGGTTGAGAATCACTGTACTAGAGGTAGGTAACCCATTCATGCGCAACCCTCCACGCCAGATGGCCAACAGATTTGGATGTCAAAAGCCCCTGAAAGCAAGGTTCTCACCTGTTGTCTCAGGAGAGGAAAGCTAATGATGGAAAGGGATGTTGAACAGAGGCTAACACAGCCCACCTCCTCCAGAAGCAAACGACACCCACGCTCCATATAAATGTCCTCTCCCCTCCTTAGCAGACCTCAGAAATCACTGGTCTGGCACTAGGAGAGCAGTGTTGATCACCTCATTTAGCTGAGCTGCTCTCCATTAGAGCCCAATGATCGCATACTCTGGGGCACTTAGATGTATTACTAAGTATGCAAGGTTGACTCACGCGTGTGTGTTATTTCATTCACAGTAACACTAGGTCTCACATTCTCAGTCTTCGTAGTTAAGTGCTCCTGAAACCAGCTGGTATCTCAGACCACAAAATTAAAACCATAATCGAATGCACATAAAAGGACCCCTCAGCCCAGGGGAGGGGAGTGAAGGACTTGAAGCCATATTCGGGATCACTCAGCCAGTATCCTTCAAAGCAAAAGTTAACATTTATTAAACACTTAGCATGTGTTTCCCCAGCACCATCGCGCAATTGTGGTGCCGGCAAAGAATAACTGAAAGTCGTACAGACTGCCGGAAAAACAAACAAACCGGTCTTGGGAGAAGTCCCGTGAGAACGCTTCTCAGAGGCAAGATGGTGAGACTTCATCTCCCACACTTTGGACATGCTGTCGGGCGCGATGCCGTGTCCTCAGAGAAGGACACGGTGCTGGGTAAAACGGAAGGCCCTCGACGACACAGTGACACGGTGGCTGAAACCGTGGACTTGGACATAGAACCATTGTGAGGATGGCACAGGACCTGGCAGAGTTTCATTTAGTTGGGCACAGGGTCCCTATGGGTCCCTATGGATCACTATGGTAACCAGCTCAACAGCACCTACTGAAAATAAGAAGCCTGTCAGGTCCTGCTCCATCTTCACAATCGTTCTATGCTTGAGACCACTGTGGCAGCCACTGCATCAATCCATCTCATTAAGAGTCGTCCTCTTTTTCGCCTAAGACCTGGTCTCTCCTCATGCTACTCCATCAGGACAGGGACAAATAACTTGCTGGAATTCACATGGACAAACAATGGCAGGGTCAGAATGTCGACTCAGAAGATACACACTCAAGGTGCTCACTGTCATCCAGTCGATCCTGACTCATACCAACTTTAGAGGACAGAGTGGAAGTCTACTGCCCCTGTGGGTGACTGAGACTGTAACTCTCTGTGGGAGTCGAAATGGCACCTTTCTCCCAAGGAGCAACTGGTGGTTTGGAACTGCTGATCTTGAGGTTAGCAGCCCAACATGACACCACCTGGGCTCCAGCACAAGAGAAAAGTATAATTGCCTGCTGCTACCTAGAGGTGCCTCAATTAAACTCAATTAAAGGAAGTGCACCTTCCTCTGCCATGAAAAGGCAACTCGCTCTAAAAAGTTTGTTATGCGAGAGGGAAATAGATCTATGTACTTATATCTATATGTTAAGAATTAATGTAGCAGAAGGACATTGGGCCTCGATTCAAGTACTCCCTCGACACAAGAACACTTTGCTCTAATAATTTAGCATTCTGTAATGCTCACCTTCCTGACACGATCACTGAAGACAAAATGGGTGCATAAGCAAATGTGGTGAAGAAAGCTGATGGTGCCCAGCTTTCAAAAGATATAGCTTCTGGGATCTTAAAGGCTTGCAGATAAACAAGTGGCCATCTAGCTCAGAAGCAACAAAGCCCACATGGAAGAAGCACATGTGTGCTCATGAGGCGTCGATGGGATCAGGTATCAGGCATCTAAGACCCAGAACAAAATCATATCAATGTGGATGGGGGGCAAGGAGGGACGAGGAGTGAAGACTCAGAGCCCATCTGTAGCCAATTGGACATCTCCTCACAAAAGGATCACAAGGAAGAGAGAACCCAGTCAGTGTGTAGTATAGCACTGATGAAACACACAACTTTCCTCTAGTTCTTTAATGTTTCCTCCCCCCACTATCACGGCTTCAATTCTACTTTAAAAATTGGACTAAACCAGAACATACACACTGTTACAGATAAGAGCCCGCAACACAGGGAATCCAGGATAGATAAACCCCTCAGGGCCAACAATGAGAATAGAGATGCCAGGAGGATAAGGGGGAGGTGGGGGGAGAAAGGAGGAATCGGCCACAAGGATCAACATATAACCCCCTCCTAGGGGGATGAACAACAGAATTGTGGGTGAAGGGTGACAGAGGCCAATGTAAGATATGAAAATAACAATCCATAACTTATCAAGGGTTCATGAGGGAGAGAGGGTGGGGGCAGGAGGGGGAGAAAGGGGGAGCTGATACTAAGGGCTCAAGTAGAAAGAAAATGCTTTGAAAATGATGATGGCAACATATGTACAACTGTGCTTGACACAATGGATGAATGTATGGATTGTGATAACAGATGTAAGAGCCCCCAATAAAAGTATTTAATAAAAAAAAAAGTTTGTTATGCATGCAATGGAAAGGGCATTACCTTCACCCATCTGGTAAGTCCAGAGAGAAGTAATCTCCCTTGGGGGCTTTCTTTAGGGTGTCTTTGATGGAGATCATCATAAGGGGGTGGGGGTCATACAGACGTGAGTCATGCCCTGATTGCCTTGGGGAAGCCCGATCTTGTAAGCCCTCTGTCTACCACAACAGACATATCCGCATCAGGGCCCCATTTTCTGCTCCAGAAACCCCATCTGTGACTATGACGCTTTGATTTGCCCCCAAACATGTGTGTGTGGAAGTTTTCCCCTGGCCTCCCATGTCCTTGCTAAAGTTCTGTATCTCAACAAACCCTTCAACGCCGTTATGACCATGGGCCAATGGTCTCCCCTATCTGGATAATACATCTTTGTCTTCTCCTGGTCCTGTTGAAGACTATAATAAGCGTCCCCTTAAAAATAATAACAAATAATAAAAGCTTGTCATGGTGAGTTACAAATGGGAAGGAAATCAATTGCACTAGCACACAATTCAGAATGATAATTAGTTTCCATATAACAGTTTTGAGGTGTCATTCTTACTGCGTGCCAGGTAGATCCAGCGGTGAGCTCTGATTTCTCCAGAAGGACCACGTCCTTCATCCCTGCTTTGGCCAAATGATAAGCCAGACTCACACCAACGCAGCCACCACCAATGATCACTGTTTCTGCTCGGTCTTTCCATTTGGTCTCTGTAGATAAGGGTGATCTTTCCTCTCTGGAAGACAATATGTTTTAGAGGTTACTTCTCTAGGCTATGATAACTTTGTTCAACTAAGCTGCTTCCAGTACCTTAATGTTTCTTTGTTGTTGTGTACCATTGATTGCTTCAGACTCATAGAGACCCTATAAGACAGGGCAGAACTGCCCCATAGAGTTTCTAAGACAGTAATCTTCACAGGAGACTGCCACATTTTTCTTGTATAGAGTAGCTTGTGGGTTCAAACCATCAACCTTTGGGGTTAGTGGCTGAATACTTAACCACTGAGCCACCTGGGATCATTCACTGTCCCTTTAGACCCCTTTAATTTGAGACCATTCTTCAGATTTTCTTTGTGTCTCATGATCTCGACATAGTTGGGGTACTAGGCAGTTGTTCTATAGAATGCATCTCATTCACATTTGACTGGTCTTTCCACCAGTCAGATCGAGGTAACCATTTTCAGCAAGAATACCACTGAAGTGATGTGTCCATCTTTTTTAAAGGGATGTGATACTAGTTTATCCAAATACTTGTCCTATGTTGGATGACCTGTTTAAAACGAAGTAATTTTATAAATATGTGTGATGCTTTTAGACTATATAAATATCCTATTCCTCATCAAACTTTCACTGATTGGTTTTAGCACCTATTGATAGTTTTCTAATTCCAATGCTCTATAGATGTACATTTGAAGAGTTTAGATGTATAGATGATAATCAACTGTAAAGAAGTACTTTCCTTGCTTCCTGGTTTTCTTGCTTATTTAAATTAGTAAAAATTCATGTAAATTTGTGTTATTCAATGGGATACAATCCATTACTATCCTGAGTTCATTTTAATGCAATGTTGCTCCCAATTTGGCCAGCAAGAGTCTTTCAGTTGACTCCTGTGTCCTTTTGACATGATCGAGGGTTCTCTGCACACTTTCTTACTCTCTAGAGTCATGTGATGTCCCAGCACTTTGGTTTCAGTGACTCAGAAGTGACTTTCATCGTCTCTTTGTGTGCTTAAGAAATAAAATAATATACTCATGACTGCTGACTACTTAACACAGAAATAAAATTGCAAATAGTCTAGGGATATCTTGTACTCTAATTGAAACCATTATACTGGTGACAAATGAATAGAAGTGAATATATATATATATTATATACATAGATGTATCTATACCCATATATATTATTTACTTCAGCACATGGCTGGGTGGAACATAAAAAATAAAGAATTTCAGCTCAGAAAGCCTGAGCTTGAGACTCCCATCTAATTGATTATTTTAGGAACATTTACTCAAGGGACTAAAAATTTCATCTGTAAAATGAAATTATGAAGGTTCCATTTGGTAATAAAGCATAAAACATTATCAAATGAATATTATTCCTTCTGCCCAGCATAACATAATGGGTTTCAGACCAGGTATCATGTTGGTGGACTGTATATAAATTATCTTAAATTCCATTTGGAAGTAATCTGGGATGGTTGTAAAAACACTTAAAATCAAATAGAGTCAGAGATAGGCAGAAACCCAAGTTACCTCTCTTCTATTAGAAATGGAAAGTTTTAGATTGCCAGTGTGCTTGTCCAGCTGCTTCCCAAGAGGAAACGTCATCTTGATTGTTTGGAATTGAGTATGTGAAGAGCATACACTAGACATACATTGTTCCATTCATATTTATTCAGTATGAAACTGTACACTATTGAAGAGATAAAAATCTACCTGTGGTATAGTTCTGGATTGGCTATTTCAATGTCCAATCAATTTAAAACAGAGCAATACCATTTGGCCAAATTCCTGCTTCAATTTGCACTAGATTAAAGTATTGTTAATGTTATAAACATCTATGGGATGTCTTAAGAAACCCAGGTTGTTCAGTGATTAAGCACTCAGTTGCTAACCAAAAGTTGGCAGTTCAAACCCACAGACTGCTTCATAGGAGAAATATGAGGTAAGATTATAAGAGACAAGGAAAGATTACAGCCTGGGAAACCCTATGGGACAGTTCTACTTTATCCTACAGATTCACTCAGAGTTGGAATCCACTCAATAGCAATGGGCTATGGGACATTTTACCATTTACAATGCACTTCTACATTTCTTCTCTTGTTTAACCCTGACACTGATCCTGTGAGTTAGGCAAAGCATGCACTCGTATCCTCATTTTACAAACAAGGAAGTTGAAACTCAGAAGTGTACGTCACATCCTCTGTAACTGATAGAATATCCCCTGTGACTTGGTGACCACTATATCCCCAGCCCTAAGAACAAGCTCACCACATCACAGATACCCAGAAAGCTCTTGTTGAATGAAAAAAATGGATGGGTGAATATATGGATGGGTGGAACTCAAAAGTAAATTTAGGATTCCAGAATTTCAGTTCCCAACATGTAAAATAAATATTGCGTCAACTCGCAATGCTGTGTGGTGCTAATTAATAAACATAAGCTTTGCCTTGCAGTCTCCAATCATCTGTCAACAGAAAAGAGTCAAAAGAAGTTCAGCATCACTCAATTTCAGTAAGTGCCCATGACAGGAAGGGAACACCATTTTCATCTGTCAGATTCAGCCACGATCAAAAGCTTGCTCCTCTTGGTGTCAGGAAAGCTGTGGACCCACAAACCCTCACACAGTGCTGGTGGGTGTGCAGTTTGCCACCAGTGATTGTGGGAATGATGTGGCTTTGTCTTTCAATATTTAAAATTATCTAGCAATGTTCATGCTAGAAATGGATTCTAATAGCCTCTCACGTGCACTGAAAGTACATAAGAATTTCACACCCACACTTTTGTCAGTAACAAAAACCTGGAAACAATCTAAATATTAATCAAAAGGTCACTGCTTAATTGTATTAAGGAATAATGATAGGATGAAAACCCATATGACTGGTAAAAACTGTAAATCAATAGGGGATGATATGGAACTGAGACCTATTGATAACTGTAAAAAGTTAGGTGTACATTAGCCAGTGGGGAAATGATTGAAGTTGGCACAGATTTCATTTTGCTTGGATCTACAATCTACGCTCATGGAAACAGCAGTCAATAAATCAGATGTATTATAGTAGGCAAATCTGCTGCAAAAACAAAAGCCCTTTGCAAGTGTGTGTGTGTTGGGGCGGGGGGTGGGTGTCAGCGAGGAATAAGGAGCACCTGACCCAAGGTCTGGCCTTTTCCATCCTTGTGCGTGTGAACGCTGAGCAATCCCTAAGGGAATCTAAGCGCGCTGATGAAGACTGTGGAATATAGCATGAATTGCCAGAAGAAGGCCTTCAAGCTTGGTAAAGGAGCAAGGAAAAAGAGGACGGCCCTCCATGAGATGGGTGGACACAGTGGCTGCCTGGATGGGCTCAGACCTAGAACATTGTGAGGGTGGTGCAGGGCCGGGCAGGGCTTCCTTCAGCTGTGCCGGGGTCGCTATGGGTCTGACTTGACTCACTGGCACCCAGCAACTACAATAACAACCAGAAGGGGGAACAAGCCTGTCTTGGAAGAAGGACAGTCAGAAGGCGTCTTAGAAGCGAGGGTGTGGAAACGGTTTCACGTACTCTGGGCATGCGCTCATGAGAGACTAGTCACTGAAGAAGGCCTCAATGAGATGGATTGACTCGGCGGCTGCACCCACGGGCTTAAAGGTAGGAATGATTAGGAAGACGCCGCAGGCTCGGCCCTCCATAGGGTGGTTGTAGATAAGGATGCCCGGGAAGTGACTCCCTGGCACCTACCAACATTGCCAATTGGTTCAAAGGGGTCCCTGCGTGCGTCCTACCACTGGTTAACGGCTTCAGCTGAGAACTAACCAGCTTGAATCCACCGCGGGGTGCCTCGGAAGCAAGGCCTGGTGATATACTACCAAAGCAAAGCTGCCATTGAAAATCCTTCGGAGATTTCTACTCTGACCCACACGATACCGCTAGGAACGCAAATTCACAAGAACGGCTTTTTGTTTTAATGCTGTCGTTTTGCGCCAGTAAAACACAACATCACACACAAACACACACGCGCGCGCGGCGGCATTTGTCTATTTATAGACCATCGCTGGATGAATACAGAAGACTTTGCTGTTAGCCGTTGGTGGGGAAATGGATTGGGGCGAAGGGCCTTGGCATGGGGAAGCCTTTGGTACTGTTTTCAGTTGGCACTGTTGTGCGTGGTAAAGAAAACATAGTTAATTTAAAAAGAG